ATATATATATATATATATATATATATATATATATATATATATATGTATATATATATATATCGTCACAAACGGAACTGCCATATATATATACATATATATATATTTTACGTATTTTAAGGGGTAAAAAAAAAATTAAAAAAAAGAGGCCGCGGACTGGGCCTCATCGGCCGCGGTCGTGGCCGACTTTTTTGGCCGCAGCGGCCGAATACCCGCGGCCTAGGTCACGGCTGTCACGTCAGCTCTGCTCTACTGCACAGCAAGGCGCCGAACCTGCATGGACCATTGGAAGCCCTATGGTGCGTCCCCTCCCCTTCTTGCCAACAACTAAACCAGAGTATTCCTGATACGCCGCAAGGGTCGACAGGCAAGGTGCCTGGTAAACCGCGAAGGTTGAGGAGTAGCGACCGCCGACTGGTGCGTAGCGAATGTCCCTGAGCAGGAGACTAGCATGCCACAGAGGGCCGGGACATCGCGCCCTCTGACAACGAGCGCACTCATACACACACACACACACATATACATACCTACAAACAAGTAGACACACACATACACACATGCATGCATATAAATGAACTCACATACACACACATACATGCAACTCGCAAAAAATAGGAAGTCTACACCACCAAAACCCACACATTATACACATTCACAAAAAATGCGTAGAATAACCATGTCAGCGACTCAGCAATAACAATAACAATAAAAATACAAAAATGAAGTCACACATAACCATACGAGCAAAGCCCCACACGGCGCCCTCAAGCTACTAACCTCTACAAGAGAACAATTGAACTACCACCACACAAAAAACTTACCATATGACCCCCCCCCCCAAAAGAGAAAACCAAAACAAACATCCCTTAACTACCGCATCCATCCCAACAAAAACCACTAAGCTTACCAACCACCAAAAGACACGCCCTCGTTCTGTCCTCCAGCCCTGAATACAGAACCACGCTAAAAAACTAGAAAACAACGATTTGAAAGGGGAATGCACCGTAAGCACGAAACCAAAAAATTAAGAATAAGGGAAAAAAAAAAGGACAAAACCACGAAACGACAGACAGCCCACTCACTACAGAGCGCACTACCCGCTGACAAGCAACCAAACTCCAAAAATAAATTTGACTTCAATAAAAAGGGCCCCGTAATAGCGAGAACAAAAAAACGCAGTCGCCATAAAAAAAAATCCTCCCGTCACAACACACGAATAACATACAAGCGAGAGAGATGCACTTGAGCACGCTCCCTTTGGCCCCCACCCTCGCAAGAATACCGAGCCCATTTCATACCTCCCCGGCCAACTTAACACCTATGACACCAACCATTCAACCAATAACACGCCCCCCCCCCAAAAAAACCCTCTTCCCCAAAAAAAAAACAACTCTACAAAAAAAAAAGGTGAGAATTCAATACAGGACCTACATTGCCCCCAGGGCAAATCCTCACGCAAAAGCAACACAAACTTAGTACATGATGAGAGAGCTTAGAAGCCTTCCTAACTCAAGCGAGATTCCGACTCCTCAACGAGCGCGCTCGGCGCTTGTGCTACTAGTATTACCATCACCACCATCAACAAACGTTGAACTGCGCTATTGGAGCTTTGGCGCTTGCACAAGTCCTTTTCTACCTCTATGCGCGATTCTGCTCTCAATCAAGGCAGACTCTGGGCACACCACGTGACCAGAATACATCCTAGGCTGGACACCACACCCCGAACTCGTAGTCTAACGACGACTGCATCGTATGGGGACTACCTCGTACCTCAAGAATGTCAGCTATAGCCTCAGCGATGGATGCAGAGATAAGAGCGCACGCAGTAATAACCACTCATACCAGCTCGCCAACCATCAAATTCCCACATTCCCTGAATCCCTACCTACCCTTACTTCCCCATAACCATTCTCAAGCCACATTTCATTCTTCCCTCATACATCTGAACCCCCCCCCCTGTCGTTACTCCCGACCATCACCCTCACCCCTATGTGGCACCATCGGTCGCGGATCCTGCGGCCTCGGACGCGGCCGAGGAGGTTGGCCGAGGGCGCACGGCCAAGTCCGCGCGCGGCCGCACCATGCCCAAACGGGGGCACGCGCTCAAAATCGGCGCGGACGCTCGGCCTGCACACATCGGCCGCTATCGGCCTGTACCAAAAAAAAAACAATCAAAATTTAGGGGGCGCGGTTTTTGATGTGTGATAAACAAAATAAAAAAAATAGAAAAAAAAATAAATATCGATTGATTGATTGTTTTTTTATTAACTGATTGATTGATTGATTGTTTGATTGCTTGATTGATTGATTGGTTGATTAATTGATTGATTGATTGATTGATTGATTGATTGATTGATTGATTGATTGATTGGTGGGGGAGGGGTCCTCCTTCCCCTCCCCCCGGCAGACGCACACACACACACACACACACACACACACACACACACACACACACTAGCTGGTCA